TGGGTTGGGAGCAGTCTCTGGTGCCCAGGCTAAGGTGCCACAGGACTTTTCGTTATTACTCATTGAAAAAATCTTGGGTTTTGGCAACACAGAAGAGTAGCATTGTCAGAAGGAAGAGCACCAGTGAACTGTATCATGTATGTAGCCTTACAAATCTATGACATTAACATGTACAAGTAGAAGGAGAAACAAGCGAGTAGAAAATGCCACATTTATCTCTGCAATACGTAAAATAATCGAGGAGTAAAATGTGTCATTTAGCATTGACAGGATGGGGAATTACTGACAGAAAGAAGGATTTAATACGTTTTCAATTACAAAAGGATTTTCCAACATATCTAGATGTTTTCACATTTACAAAACTGGGCACTAGTGAGTATTTGGGATCCAAGATCTACCCGGTTTTCCTTCTCTACCCAATGCTTTAGTGCTTTGTCACAAATTACCGTATTTTAGAGACTATAACTCATGGGTTATTTTCGTTTTTGTAACCTCCCCCTTCCTCCCGTGGTGTATACTCGGGTGCGGGGTATACAAAACATTTTTTTTTTTTTTTTACACACCAGGGCTACGTCTAGACTGGCATGATTTTCCGGAAATGCTTTTAACGGAAAAGTTTTCCATTAAAAGCATTTTCGGAAAAGAGCGTCTAGATTGGCACAGATACTTTTCCGCAAAAGCACTTTTTACGGAAAAGCGTCCGTAGCCAATCTAGACGCGCTGTTCTGAAAAAAAGCCCCGATCGCCATTTTCACGATCGAGCCCCGATCGCCATTTTCGCGATCGGGGCTTTTTTGCGGAAAACAAATCTGAGCTGTCTACACTGGCCCTTCTGCGCAAAAGCTTTGCGCAAAAGGGACTTTTGCCCGAACGGGAGCAGCATAGTATTTCCGCAAAAAGCACTGATTTCTTACAGTAGGAAGTCAGTGCTTTTGCGGAAATTCAAGCGGCCAGTGTAGACAGCTGGCAAGTTTTTCCGGAAAAGCGGCTGATTTTCCGGAAAAACTGGCCAGTCTAGACACAGCCCAGCTCACCTCCCGATTCCTCCACAGCTGTAGGAAGGAGCAGGGGGAGCGCTCATCTGGCTGTGCAGGGACTGGGAGGTGAGTGCCTGGGTAATTTCTCACACACATAAGAACGGCCATACTGGGTCAGACCAAAGGTCCTTCTAGCCCAGTATCCTGTCTGCCGACAGTGGCCAGCACCAGGTGCCCCAGAGGGGGTGGACCAAAGACAACGATCAAGCGATTTGTCTCCTGCCATCCCTCTCCAGCCTCTGACAAACAGAGGCCAAGGACACCATTTTATCCCGTGGCTAATCGCCTTTTATGGACCTAACCTCCATGACATTATCTAGCTTCTCTTTAAACTCTGTTATAGTCCCAGCCTTCACACACCATAAATATACCCCTGGTACAGCGCTGTATACCCTGCGGGTTATATTCATGTGCGGGGTATACAAGATTTTTTTTAAAAAGCAAAAACTGCGGGGTATCTTTGCAAAAAGACGGTAATTTGTGACAAAGCACTAAAGCGTTGGGTAGAGAAGGAACGTTGCCCTATATACAGAGGGTTCCAGCCTGGGGAGAGATGGGGCAGAACTTGAACCCACCACAGCTGGCAAGCAAGGCCGGTCTTAGGCCGATTCCACCGATTCCCCAGCGAGGAGCCCTGCACCCAAGTGAGTGGTGCATGCGTTGTGACATCCCGGGCACACGGCGCATGCGCCATGCGGCCCCACCCCCGGAATCAGGCCCTGCGCTATCTAGAGCCGGCCCTGGGAGGACAAAAGGAAGCGGCAGATGTTTTGAGAGCGGCCCAGGGAAGCTGTCGGCCTGGACATCACAGGGACCCACAGACCGAAGCTCGGAAGCTGCAGCTGGACAGGCAGGGCTGGATGAGACACACGGCCCCCCAGAAGCCCCCACTGCAGAGTGTTTGGAAGGATTGCTTGGGATTCAGATCACACACACACCCCCCCCCCCCGCCTGCCTGATTTTGCCCTTTGTCCCCTCTCCTGACTCTGCCACCGGCTGGGGGACACCCCCTCTCCCATGAGGCCAGGCC